ATCCCCCCAAACTGAAACTAAACAATTTTTCCTTAATAGGTGAATGGAGAAACACTGTGATATATCCATAAAGTGGAATATTATTCAGTGATAAAAAGAAATGAGCTAGCACACCATGAAAGACATAGTTGAATCTTATGTTTTGCTGAGTGAAAGAAGTCAATGAGAAAAGAATCTAGTCTGTAGGATTTCAATTGTATGACATTTTAGAAAATATAAAAACTTTAGACAAAACAAAAAACTGATTTCAGGAAGATCAGAAAAGGGAGATGTATTGAATGTGTAAAACATGAAAGATTATTTGATGCTGTATGATTCTGTAATGTGAGATGTATGACATTGTGCACTTGTCAAGAGCAGGACATTGAAAAGTATAAAATGTGTTCTCACAGACTGACTTTCTTTAACAGAACAATTTTGTTGAATGCTATTGTACTTCTTCACCATTAAGAGAAAAATTGTTTGGTTTTAGAAGTATACATTCTGCATTGTTGAGTAGTTTCTGGTTAAGAAAAGCTGTTGTGGCCAGAAAGTCATAACACTTAAGTCCTCCAGTTAGCAATCTCACACATCCGATGATTGTGAGAATTTCCACAAACCTGCCTGCTTCTGGTTCCATTCATTTCAAATGTTGTTTCTCCACCACCCACAAACTTCTGGTGCCAGGCCCAATAGACATACTCTCACCATTGGGTCATGAATCCTGCGTGAATTGGCACATTGTTTAGATAAAGTGTTGTTGGAAGTCATTCTTGAGCCAGAACAACTGCTAAAACCTTAAAGATCCATAGAATTGACTGCCAGTTTTGCAAAAATATTTGACCACGTGAACATACTGTTAGAGGCCTCTCTTAGGGCTTGTGAAGAATCTGCACCCGTGAGGGTTACAGAGGTTTAAGCTTTTTTATGTCCATGAGGGCGATGGGTAACTGTGGGTGTTTCATGGGGAAACTATTATCCTTCCATTTTTAAAAAGATTTATTTAAGCCTACAGAGAGCCAGAGGTGTGTGTGTGGGGGGGGGGGGAGGCAGGGTGAGAGGATTCACCAGAAACAGAGTGGGGTTCAGAACAGGCAGATGTATTGATATATACTAAGGGGAGCAGCAGGAGGGTCAGGAGAGGTCTGCTGCACCATGTAGGTCACCTTCCTGGCCAGGGAATGAACTTGTGCTGCATTGGCTGTGATCTCTTCATAGTGCTGTGCTTTAACCTGTTGTACCACCAGGGAGGACTCCTATTATCCTTTCTATATGCCTAATCATTCTCTTGAAGAAAAAAGGTATTGTTGTGCTAGGAGTTTTTAGAAGTCCTTTTTTTTTTTTTCCATTTAAGATAAAATAGCCATCAAGATAATCAGTAAGAAGCAGGAAGATGTAAGACTAAGAGGGCGGAGTCTAAGGTGGGTGATTTGGGAGAAAAAATCACATCACTTGGTCAGTTATGAGCATGGAAAATCAGAGCAGGGAAATAGTAGATGTGTCAAACTGTGTTATGGAAGTTCATGGGAAGGAATTTATAGGGACCAATAAGCTTGATGGTGTATACTTCAATGATGTTTAGTTGTAACTATAGGCAAAGAGTGGGTGGAAAATTGGATTTGCACAGGGGTGGCCTTTACCAAGCAAATATTAGGAGGTGAAAAGGATCAAGGAGGAAGGTATATGCAAGAGAATGATTATAAAGCTGGACCATGGATTTTAACCTGTGCAGGGAGAGATGAGAGGACATCAAATGTTGACAGTTAGTGGAAAATGGTAGAATCAATACATTGACAAGCCCAGTCAAAGGGTCAAAGGATAGCTGGGATTGGGTCCATGAGGGAGTAAATTGGAAAGTAGTGATCAGGGATGGTGTGGATGCAAGGTGTGGAGGACTGGTTCACTAGGAGAGAAGCTCAAGTATGCAAAATCATAGACGTTGACAGGATCACTTGTGTCTATCATAATGGAAGACTAGGACGGTAATACCAACACATTGAGTGACCGTGAACCAGATGCTAGCACCACCAATGAAGGATGGGGAAGAAGCTGGGGGTTAGTTGCACAACAAGGCAGCAGTGAGTGTCAGGGTGAATGGAATCTAATAATGGGAGATTCTCATCTGTGAAGGCTTAGAGAAGAGAGAATGGTCCAGAAGCAGCCATGAGAAGCAAGAAAGTACTTGCAGTGACAACTGTGGAGCAAATACAGTTACTAAGAGGGTTGAAGAGGCAGATATATCCTTAGAAGCGGGGCTTATTTTGACTGAGAAAAGTGATAAAGGAGTTTGTTGGATTTTGCCAACTATGGACTGCAATTCCAAGGGGCACATGTCGTATTACAGCCTCAGTGTCCTTTAATTTTCTGGTTACCATGGCAGGTCATGTAAAAGTTTATCTGACCTGATGCTCTATTTCACATTCTTGTAATAAAAGGAAAAGATACAGTTGAGAATAGTATTGAACATATGTATGTATGTGGGCACATACACACACGTGGGTATAGTCATGTATTTTGTGTGTGTATTTATAACGCTTCCATATGCAAATAGTGCTTACCACTGGGTGAAAATAATGTTGGAAGGAGACGTAATTTATGTTCTGCTATAGTGCAATACTGCAATATACAATGGCATGTGAGACTATGAAAATGTGAATATTTACTGGCTCTTTGATATTAAAAAGCACTCATTTTTCTTAAGTGACAAAAGTGTTGTGGTTATCTTTTCAAAAGTAATTTATAATAACATAGCTCTTTACAGATCAGATTTTTAGGGAGTAATATGAGTGGATACGGCATACAGATCTAGGGGATGTAAATAAAACAAGAGCATTCAGTTGAGTGAGGGTGAAGCTAGGTGACTTTCATGAAATTAAATATATAGTTTTTTAATAAGAGGAAAAATCCACCTTGATTTATAGGCTTTTTAATACATTTAAATCCGCAAAGAGTACAGCATCATGCAGATGCTGTGTTCTAAGGCCTTGCTTTGGAATTTGGCAAGACTCATGCCACTGTTTAATGGACATGTGCTACTTTTCCCCAGAGGACTCCAGTTTTATTTGGTTTGCCACCAGGAGTCATTGTATTGTTCTTTGATTTGCTCACACATTCACATCACTTGCCTACATAGGATTCAGCTTCATCTTGAGCATAAATGCCTTCAATTTTAAGAATAGCTATATATAACCTCTGGGTCCAGCAACCCTGCTTATAGCAAGCAAAATCTGCCTCAGACCATAGCCTCACTGTCATATTTTATTTTTTATTTTCTTTGAAACATATACTTATGCATTTTAGAACTGGGGTACAGACTAGGAGTGCAGAGGTACAGGGGCTGAGAGGATTCAGTAGAGACAGAGGGGAGCAGAACAGGAAGACTGACTGAACTACACTGCTGAGGGGAGCAGCAGGCAAGACAGAGAGGTCTGGGTCACCTCCCTGGCTGGGTATCGAACTCATGTTGCAGTGGCTTCAGATAGCCTCATAATGTTGTACTTTAACCTGTTGTGCCACTAGGGTGGGCCCCCAGTCATATTTTAGAAGTTCAGTTCCTAGTAGGCCTCAGTTATTTACCTCCAAATTCGGTAAGCTAATTCTCTGTATATATTTCTGTACATTACAAAAAATACATGATTTATATCTTATCTACAATAAGTTTCAAAAAATAATTTGTCATTGAAATAGGCAGTATCTAGATCATATTTACTCTGCAAGAATTTTGTATTAAAAAGGGAATGAAGTGGTGTAAGTATGCATGGCCACAGGCCTAAAAAAGAAAAAAGTCATTAGGTCCAGGGAGGCCTTTTAAATCATGAGGAGTTTAGGTCATGTGCTGAAAACAGCAAATCATCTAGTCTTTAACTGGAGTAAAATATCAGACTCTGTTGGTCACTCTAACGTGCATTGATTGATGAGTGTCCAAGTGGTGCAGCAGTGTGTTCAGTTAGGAAGCTGTTGTAGTTGTCTGGGCTCATCTTGATGGAAGTTTGCAAGTCAACTTGAGAGAATCAGCAAAGAAAAGGAAATGGTGAGCAAGTCTTATGTCATAAAGCTGGCGGTGTGGACTCAATGCAATACCAGCTAGGGTTAAGCACGATTCCTTATGTGCTTGCCACCTAAGCTATAGTGATGTGTTATCTTGCTTTTCCTCTTCTCAGAAATGCACGGTAGCTTTTCCTGTTCTCTAAGAGTAGTTGCACTTCTTATTGTGGCATTCAAGGCTCTGGTCTCATCATTCTGAATTTTATGCTCCGGACACACTACAGTTGACCCGTAAAAGTGGAGGTTAGAGGCTCTGTGCCTCATGCAGTCAAAATCCTGCAGATAACTCTAGACTGCAAAAATGAACAGTCTCCTATGGAGAAAAATCATACCTATAACAAAGTTGTACTTACTATATACTGTATCTTTACAATAAACCCAGACAAAATGTTTTGAAAACTGCGAAAATACATTTACAGTATTATATTGATAAATTTCATCATCTGTTTAAAAGAAAACTCGCATATAAGTGAACCCACATAGTCAACACCCTTGTTGCTCAAGAGCTAGCTATAGTTTGATGGGGGAGAAAAAAGTGAAAAAATGCTACGATTTCTTGTTTTGGAAAATCCTGAGATTGGTCATAATTCCCTTTCAAATTCAAAATGTATCTAATCTTTGTACAGCTGGACTTACACACCCAACTTCTCCATTCCCTTTCCTGCATGCATGCCCTCAGACATCTGACCTTCAGTTTTGTTTGAATGGTTACATCAGTGTGGCTTTTATATAGCAAAGTGATTTTCATACCTGCCCCCAATAAGAGCAAATAATGAGTTAATTCAACTTTATGATATCCTACTTTTAGTGATTAATATTTACTGAATTAAAATAATTTCTTATCCCCCTAGGCCATATTTCAAGAAAATTTACAGTAATGAAGTTTCATAGATTTGATTTTACTCTGATACATTTTCAGTCCTGTGAACAAGTAAGCTATGAAATAACATGGCAAATTTGTGAGAGTGCATAAAATTCTTTATTTAGAACAATAAAGTATATGTATAGATAATGTAATTTCAAATTCAAACCTGTATAAAAAAGGGTCAGGACATATACCTATTTTAAAAAGTACACATACAGTATATACACATACACATCACATCTTACAACCTCTTTATTTAATTAAACTTCAGTCATAATAAAACTATTTAGAATAGTGTTGACATACATTTACATTACAATCTATGACAATCTCCAATCTATGACTGAACTAGCAATCTATCTGTGCATCCAACTAAAATGTCTGAATACTTTTCAAGTCCACTGATTTAACAAACAGTGGCAAGGACACTATATCACACATCAATCCTTAGCATATAGATAGAATATTTTGAGTGGAAATTTTTATTTAGTGAGTCTGGTATTTCAAAAACCAAGTAACTGAAAATACTATAAATTTTAGTTTAAGCAATTAATTTTACCTTAAAAACATAAGGATGTAGTTCGAGATGGCAGTTATAAATTTACAAAACTAAGCAAACATTTTAGGATCATGAATATCCTTTTAAAAAATATGGATTGCATCTTCAGGGAAAAAACAAAAAACTTGTCGGTATATATTTTTAAAAAAGCATTTCCACACTAGTTAATGGAAAACTGCAACATCATAGATGGTGTAATCAAACACCACAAATGAACTCGTCAGAATTTCAAATTGATCGTTGATATTTTAATGCAAATTTCAAAATATTATGTCAAAGACTAGCCAAGTTACTTTAAAATTCTTACCCTGTTTTCCAAATTTAAAATATAATTTATAGATTACCCTTTTGCCAAATGGATTCCAAATTCTCTGGCATTCCAAAACCTTCTGAGCGTCTTACATAGTCTGCTCTCAGCTTGTAATAGAATGAGGGCATTTAAATGCTTAATTTGGTACATTTCCAAATATTATGCACATTTTACAATATCTCTTTCTGACTAAAATGTACTGGTATTTTTTTTTATTCTTGGGAGGTGATCCAAAACATTTACTTAAGCAGAAGAAAAGCCATCTCTTGTGTAAATGGTTATCCAAAGGACCCTATGTGAGACTGAATTTCACTTTTACTAATGGACCCTATTTACAATACAAACAACAGCAATGAATTTTCAAATTCAAATTGTTTATTCACAGAAATCTGAGTTGGGTGGTTTCAGTTCTTTTATATTCTGTCATATCAATAGGTTTCACTCGAAGATGTAACCAATCTAGATAGGTTAACAAATTGAGATTCAAATCAGGGAGGTAATTTACCATTATCAGTTAATGAGAGAGTGGGGCATCCGATTTTTCCCAAACTTGTCTTTTTGAAAATATTTAAGTTTTAAAGAATAGCTATGGAATGGCTAAAAACCCTATATTGGATATATATTTTGAAACCAAAGCCTAGCTACAGAAAAACATTAAGAAATACCTATGAATTCTGAATAGATTATTCTGTGAATTGAGCTTCAGAGTACCAAACTATGCCAGCAAGTTTCTCCATTATTTTTAATGCTCAATGAAATGTTTCGTTCTACCAAAGGCAAACACTTCAATATGGATACATACCTTTTTTTTCATACATTTTCATGTACTGAATCCTTTAAGATGATAGGTTACTTATTCTTACTGTATTTTAAAAAGTCACTTTTTCTGACTCATTAAAAAGTGGCAGTGTGGAAATAAGCACACTGGATTGTAATACAGAATCCAGGAATACTTTGATAGCACTGGGCAGGCACTGATTTATCACAGAGCCAGGTTTTTGCTGATGCAGTTCTACCTAGAGGTGCAAAGCTTTCAAGATCATTCAGAACCTGCACAATTCTGAGGAAGTTTGAAACAGTACATGAGAGAATTATCAGATATTTGGCACCAATCGAAAAGGTAATTTCATGGTTTATAATGTCAGTTGTGAGTATTCCATGACTTATATGAAGGCTATTCAGGACACATATAAAATATAGATACATATTTTAAAAATTCAAAGCAGGTATGACAGTTAATGCCCAAGCAGCTAACATTCAAAATAATGTTGAATATATTCTATAGTTCATGCATTTTATTGAACTGTAGTGTTTTTAAAAATTGGTAACCAACTACCTCTCAATGAACCAATGCATTTAATTAGGCAGAACACATCTCCCCTTGCCTACCACACTGGATTTCATAACGAGCTGAATTTGTTTATTTAAGTGTATTGATTAGAACCATGTCCTTGAGTGTTAAGACCCAGCTACTAGCTTTGAAAACAAAAGTACAATTATCATACTCTCAAACTCAATAGATTTTCATATGCCTAAGAAGACAAACTGTTAGTTAAATAAATCAAGCTGTTAGACTGAGAAGTACCAATCTCCTCAATCTATAACATGACCTACACATGTAACTCATCAATCTAGGACTATTTCTCTCCTAAGAATCAATGTCACACACTGAGACAGGTCCTTTAGCAATTAGTGATCTCTGGTTTTATGAACAATAGATTGTACTATGGGGGTATCCAAGGGCCTGAATAGGTTAACGCAGCTTCCCAAAGCACCGGGTTGTGCCTTACAGCAATGACTAGATTTGAAAAACCATAGCACTTCAGGGAAGAAAGGGACCATAGAAATCATCTGGGCTCTTTGGTACAGAAAAGAGCAAAGGCCACTTACTGGAGTTGTATTTGCATTAGCTTTGAACATAAGCTAAAATCCAGCTATATTAGAAATTCTTAACTTTCCTTTGATTTCAAAAGTTTAACAGTTTTGTTTTTCTTTTTGTCTCACTACATTGCAAGTGGTTACCTGATGCTTGTATAGTATACGACTCTAGTGTTATCATAAAGATTAGGATAGAATGGAAAGTTTAGGTATATGTTGGTGGTAAATTAAAAGAAATTAAATTTTTGACTTTAGTCAGATGCTCCTTTGAGTCAAATAAAATTGGCGAGGGCAATTCACATGTCTTACATTTTCTAGTTTAGAAGCACAATGTCCATCCTGGAAATTCCCGCCAAATTCACTCTTTATACAACAAATGCTTCATACATCTTAAATAGCAAACTGACATGCATAACTACATAAATCTCTCTTAATTCATAAACCTTAATGAATAGTGCCTGGTTTTAAATAAATGGATCCTGTAAACAGATAATGGTGATTACACTATAAATAACTGAAGCTTCCTGATTCCTTGCATTCTTGTAAAAGCCAAGTAACCTAGTTTGCAACACCGACATTAGCATGTGGGTGTCGTTTTCTAACCTTAGATACTAAATATCATAATTTATTTTGAATTTGTTTCAGGGGGGAATTGAAAATGGGGCCTTTCTACATACAGTAATTTCTTCTAAGTCCCATTACATAATTCTTTAATAGTTTTAGAATATAAACATTTCATAATATATTTAGCAAGCAGGATTTACACATTCGATAGTGGTCAAGGGAAAAGGCCAACTTCCCCAGGGGTGCCAAAGGTCCTTTTCAGTGACTGTCCTGCTGCTCACTCAGTATTCATAGCTTCTTGCAATGGCTGAGAATCCCCTTTTTGCAAAGCCATCACTAGTCTAATTCACACTGGCTCCCCTGGACAGATAGACCCAGTCAACCATGTCCACGTGCCTACTGGGATATGGGCAAGTACGGTTTGTGTCAAGAAGATCAGACCTATATCACTCAGGACTAGCTAGCAGGCTGACAAGTTGCTTACTCCAATCATTCTTGCCACTGTTTTCTGTATGTACAGTGGCTGTTGTGATTTAATTTGAAAGGTTTTCTTTCTAAATCCCTTTAAGAAAAACTACTCCCCCCGCTATCCAGGCTGAATTCTACTTGCAGAGACCAATGTAACTACAAACTGCAGGTTGTACTGAAAATAAAGCTATGTGATTTTTTTTTTTTTCAGCAATTAGACATTTCTGGAGGCATGCAAAATGGTGCGTGCAGTCTGGGACACGTGCTTTCTCTCCCAACATCAGTTGCAAGTTCTAAATGAGACCACAAGTCCCCAAGTCCTTAAAATAGAGTGCTGCTCCATGCAAGTTCTTCTTTGTAGATGATTAATTCAGTGACAGTTTCACATTAAAACACTTTGTTCCAATTTCTGAATCATCCATCTAGAGTCATGGTAGCAAGAACAGAAAAAGATGCGGTCTGTCACTCCAGACAGAATAGGAATTTGTTTAAAGCGGCTTCATTTATGAAGCAAACATGAACTGTTACTGCCTAAAGAGGAAAGAAAAAAAAAAAAAGATTATGGCGTATCTGCCATCTTTTCATGCTCAACAGTTGAATTGCTATGATTATAGAATGAGCAATAGAGCTGCAATGTATACTTTACTTACAGGAAAAAGATCTTGATACGTTCCTAGATGCAGTGGTTACTCTGCTCTCCCTGATCCTACTTCACACATGAAATGTCTTACTGTTCATGGCTGTCTCTGCTCATGACAATGTAAACTCCATGAGCTGTGTATACTTTGGTTCTGCTGTATTCTACCACTCAAAACAGAGCCTGACTCCAAGCAAATCTCATTTTTAAAACCATTTTTCAAGTAATTTTATTTCCAGCATTACATCATTGTGTACTCCTTGTAAAACTCCCCCTCACTCTAGTCCCTGTGGTTTTTTCTCTCCTTTTTTTGATCCCCTGTTCCTGCCTCACAGAATGTCTCTTATTTAGGGTTGCCTGCTAGTTTTCCAAACAAATGTTTCTTAACATTAAAAATGGATGACTGAATACCCTCTGGCTTTCAAACCCTTAGGCATAACATAGGTTATCTCCATTTGTGATAAGAGGATTACCATCCTATTGATTTTAAACTGATGAAAAGCTAGTAACAGGTGGTCAGGGGATAGGGCTTGAAGGGCAAAAGTAGTATCTAGAGCAATGAAGGGAAGGGAGGTGGAGAATCTGAAACAGAAGAGAGAGTTCTCGGGAAGTAGAGAATCTGGTTAGAGGCCACCAAAGGTTAATCATGTCCTGGCCACTGAGCAGCAGAAGTATCTGGATGGTAGCAGTTCTAGCAAAAACTTCTCCCAATTGAGGAAGTAGCAGCTGGACAATTTCATTTTATACTGTCAGCCAAAAGGACAGAAATCCTGGCACCACACCCTAACACAGCCTCTGGGGAGCTTAATCTGGCCCTGGTGAATGAAGCTCACTTGTTGAAATTTGAAAACCAGACTTCACCACTGGTTTTAAGATTCTGGGCTCTAGACTCAGCTTAAATCAAGTATTTGTACTTCTGTATGTACTTATTAGGACAAGTAAAATCTTCATACTATCTTAAATCACAGCCCTAATGTGTATTTAATTTTATCAACCCCAGAATCAACCACTGCTGGTATTAAAATAGCTGAGATTGTCACAGATGGTTTATAAAGCCCCATAACATGATTGATAAGAATTTCAGTGAACTCTAGAAATGAGACAATGTGTAGTTAGGAAAGCAGAATTAAAACCAGAAAGAAAAGTTAAGAGAAGGCATCAGAAATAGAGTATTAAGGCATTTATTTTTAATATTAAAAAAAAAAACTTAGGAAAATGGATAGAAGAGCAAAGGAATTTTTTCCTCAAAGCTATAAAATTAAATGCAACCAAGCATTGTCAGTCTTCTTTATACTTATCTATTTCTGATTTTGTCCGTTCCACATTGCAAAAAAATAAACATGACCATTGACAGCTGTTTTATAATGACACCGTTTTTTGCACGAGATTTATGAAATAAGCAAGTTTGAACCCAAATCTAATTGTCTCTAATCCTCTGTATCACAATGTGTCTACAGAAAGAAAGCTTAGAACAAAACTTTTAAAGCTTTTAAGTGCCTTAGAAATATCTGCAAAGAGTTAGACTCTAGCATTAGGGCACTGGCTATTCCCAAGTCATGTGTACTATCAACTTGACTCAAGCTCTCATATATCATCCAACTCTTTTTTTACTTCTCTCTTAACTGAACTCTACCAGAAACTGCCAGACTGGGTCTCTTCCATGGCTAATTAGTTCTTTTCAACAAATATTTATCATTTGGTCTATAGTTCTCCCATCTTCTGTTTTACCATCATCTAGTTATTCCTGTAGGCTTTAGCTCATCTTTGAGTTCTGCCTCTGATGTTGAGTCTTGCATCCTATCAGTAAAACTGACTTCTCCTTTCACTGCAGTGTTTCCTAAATGGTACCTCCCTCTTTTCATGGCCCTAACCCTAGTTCATATTGTCATTCTTTATCTTTTTGGAATTGGTCTCCTAAGAGGACTCCCTAACTTCAGGCCACCCCTTCCACCTATCTGACCACAGTAACCTCCAATTACTTTCATAATCCTCCTCTTTCATTTCACCACTTGTATCTTTTCTAAACCTCCCAACTGCCCCATGTATTATTACTCAATCTAGTGTAAATCCTACATTTGGAATTGACACCCACTTCCAACTGATGTCTTGCTGGGCACTTTAACTTCATGTGTGACCCTCCTAGACTCTAACCATATAAACTGATTCTTAAACACAAAGCATTCTTTGGCTCTCTGATTTAGCATCTCATTTATAGTATCTGGCTTTACACAGCTTCTCTATTGCAAATAAAATTTGCATGATCTCACCACCCAAATCAACTACATATAGGTAGTTGATTTACATAGCTTACATAGGTAAGCTTTCTGCAAATGCAGTATTCTTGTTCTAGCTCTCTCCTCTCAAAACCTTTTCTTTAAAAAAAGGTTATATCTTACTTCCTTCTCTACTAAGCAATTTGGGAACATAGCTAAGTCAAGGTCAAGTTTGCATTCAACAAAGCAACTAACTACCTCCCTCTTTTCATGCATATACTGTATTTCTGTACTACATGCAACCTAATAAATGATGACTTGTGGGATACTACATTTGGGTATTTGGCATTAAAATTCCACTTAGTTTCATGCTTGATGTCAAGTAAAATTAGCATATTTACTCTTAGAGATAACTTGTTTTCTAGTTCATTTCCAACACGCCTTCTTTCCATTTAAAATATCAAGTTGTCCTTTTTCACTTTCCAACCCTATTTCAATAGTGACAATGATTTATTTTAACTGCACAACTTTCATTTTGGGGAGAAATCCTTGCCATCAACCTGAGTCATTTAATGTTTTTTTCTTCTTATAAACCAACTGAATTACTGTAATGCAAATTACATCATTTTTGAATTGTAGTTACAACTCCTTATTTCATTTCTATCTTTGTACTCTAATTTCTTGGCAGATTTTTATCTCTCCACCATGTCCTTTCTATCACCTCCCTCACCCCAAATTATACAAGTTCCTTGACAGGCTTTCAACATCTGAAAGTACAGGGTTAAGTATAAAACTTGACTCTATGTAATTACTACTCAGTAAATGTTAAACTGATACATATGCATTTTAGCTTTGGGGTTTGCAATAATGAGCTAGTTCTTTCTTCCTTTTCCCCTTTTGCATTTGAATTCCTATTTATGATTACATACGTATCCTCATGATTTTATTTGCATATTTAGCAATTCTGAGATTGTTCTAACTTTTATATCCTATATGCCTAATCAAACTATGGACTTCAAAATGAAATATACACTCTCTTAAGAGCGTATGTTTTACAGGACATTGCTAGTAGGATATCTGAGTCATAAAAAAGTTAGAGGGCCATAAAGAAATCACTTTTGTTGAGGAACTTAGCTTTATGGAAGTGGTGGTACAGAGTCATTTCATACAAGAATACTGCATTGTTTAAGAAAAATGAGTTATTTTCTATATGACTGTAGTCCTGACCACCCTATTGACCCCAATAGGTAAATAAACCATAGTTAAAAAACATTGGGGTAGCAACACTTGTGTATACAATGTTAACATTGTTAACCACGGCACAACATTACATAGCAGATCTCTAGAACATCTTTATCTTGAACACAAAAACCTACTTCAGAATAACTATCTTTCTACCTCTTGGTTAAACTTTCGATTAAGATTTATTCATTCACTTAGTTGCTCTTTCTAAACACTTCTTGAGCCTCTGACGCACAAACAAGTGCTGTGAGAAGATATAGCAAGAACCGGACAGACGATGTGCTTGTCCTTGGATGTTCCTGACTAGAGACCTTATGTGCAAGTGACTTCACTATGGATGCTTTAAAATGCCCTTTTTTCCCTCCTACACAAATGGTCTGGGTTTTCCCTTCATAATACACTCCTACTGCCACCTTAAGACTCAACAGAAGACATTACTTGAGTCTTTAAGACTCATTAACCATTTAGTGTGTGGCTCAGGTAGGTTTGGCTTAAGGGAATGCATAGCAGGCAGAGAGAAACTGAGGTTTGTGTTGGTGCAGGGAAATAGGTTTCCAGGAATTAAAGCGATTTCAGCTTGAGGACTACTGCCCCAGAAAATAAAAAGGTTCAAGTGGAAGGTTTCTTCATTTTGTGCTGATGAGAAAAATGAGCCTAGAGGGAAACTGGGCTAGGGAGCAGAAAAGAGAGGGCCTTCGCATTCCCCAGAGACAATGGCTAAGGGTAACATGAAGGGTTTAAGCAACATAAAAATGAGACATCACTTTTATATCATGGTATTTTGGCTGTTAGAAATGATGTTTTATAACTGAAAGTGAGCTCCTATAGCAAGTATGAGGCTTCATGACCCAGTTTTCCTGGGGAAGGTTCAACCTAGAATTAAGTTTCTGAATCTGGGACACAAGTAAGAACAGACAGGATCTGTAGAGAAAGGTAAACTTACTACAGGCCTTCTCTACCATCATTGAGCAAAGGAAATAATCCTCTGTGCCTCATGGCAAATGAGGGTGGACAGGGAAGGTCTAAAGACAGGAAGATGAGGCCGTTCATATGCCACTATAATCAATGCACTCAGGATTCCCTAAACAACAGAACTATTAGTGGGAAGTGAGAAGAACACAGATGGATGTTTGGCTAAGTTAATGCTATTCAACTCCCTCAAGAGTGTATGGAGTTTGGGACCCAAGCGAGGAGTCAGGAGACATGAACTTTAGTGCCTTCTGACCTTGTTTCCTTTGTCTTCCTTCTACCATAAACCCACTGTGGGGCCCCCGATAGCATGGCCACTGGTTAATATTTAGTGTTTACTATGCTCTGAACCCTGTTGAGGCACAATATGACCAGTCTGGAGCAGCTGGTACTTTAACCATGTAATTTCCTCTCTTGATTGCAAGATACTTTGTTCTCTGACCTGAATGAATCACACCTAATTATTCTTCCTCTTTAATATTTTATTTTTATGGTAAGTTACTCAAATCTATTCAATGACCTCAATGTAAACATCCCACTGTTAATTTTTTGTATACCTCACATTCAAGAGAACTAAATCCACTGATCGAGGCTAGTACTGCTTGTCTTTCAAAACTTTAGAACTCACAACCATTTTGATATGCACAATTCAATTATGTAGCAGCTTAACTTACCGATATCAGCATAAGACTTAACAGATGTTTGTAAATTCTTGAGTCTAAGATGCTGTAGAGTGTGTCTTAAATCTTTTAGATAATTCTAAAACTTACCAATGTATGAAAGTAACAGTGTTGATAAAAGTCACAATTACACTTCTTGAAACTCTCTCTCTCTTTCTTGCAACATACTGAAAAACAATGAGAAAAATGCTTATTTGCTTTTTGGACAGAGATTTTGAAGTACACTATGATCTGGGCATTGTAAAATGCAATTTCTCTAAAAAAAATTAGTAGCAAAATATTGCAAAACCGAGGGGGAGGCTTACCTTCATAACTATTACTACAGGAAAGACTCATCTGCCATGAGAGCCTTCTCAAATAATTCAAAATATTCTCTGCAGAAGCATAATAAACTCATACTAAAAATGATTTCATTACATGTGTCAAATGGTAACTACACACTGAATGTCAATCGAAGTATTAGTGCCTAGGGCACTGTGGGGTATGGTAGAATGATCAGGGTGAGCTACAGTAAAGGGAAAGGCAAGTTTCTTGCCTATGTAGTTAAGATTGTGAGTCAGGATTTAAGGAAGAATGAGTCAAAAGCAAAGTAAGATAAAGACTACTGCCACTGAGCTAAGCGTGGTAAGAATCTGAGGAATCAGTAAGTCTTGGTAAGAGCGTAAAAAAGAAGAAAGCTCATGTTCTTCTAGGGTTCTGTAACCAGACATCTGGGCAACACACTGTTTTACACAGAAATTACCTAAACGGCATCATGAAGACAGAATGAGAGGTCAGAATACAAAGACTTGGGACATTCATTTTTATATGCTCTTATGAGAGCAACTGGCTTCCTGAAGTTGTAGGCATATTTGTGGTATAAAAAATGGCAGTGTCAAGGCAGGTATGTACAGAGTTAGCAGCACGAAATACCTTATCTCATTATCCTCTTCATTAATCTGTATATTTTCAACTGCCCTTGTCAGGTTGGGTTGTCTCTTCTGGGAAAAGAAGAATGATATGTATCAGTGAGTGGACTAATTAAGAAAGAGGTCTCTCCAACTTCAATTTTTATAAATACTAAATATTTCTGCAACATTTATAAACAGGTTTTAGCAGGCACAGTATAATCAACTCAAAACTTTTAGGCTATCAGAACTGAAAGAGTAATATAGAAACTAAAAGTTTTAAGAAATTATCAAATTCGAGAGATAGTTTAAACAACCCAGTCACAATGATTTAGCAGTTTCAAATTTTAGACAAGCATCAGTAAGAAGAGGGCAAAGTAGAAACCCAAAATAGATGCTACAAAAGGCACAACTATTTGGCTCGAAGAATATATTTGTTATTTTCAGCCTGCTTTTCCATTAATTTTCTTGCGTTGTTGTTCATTTTTATACAGCATTAGATTTCTCCCACTGCCACAGCACTCATGAACCATCACCACAGTCCCCTGAGCCTTTCCTCCTGTTCTGACCTCTCTCCCTCCCCTTCCCCTGTGTATGCGCCTCAGAGCTGTTGTCAACTGGCAAGTTCTATCTTTTTTTTGTCACCTTTTGTTTGGTTTCTCTGGATTCTATGTAGAAGTCAAACTATGTGATAGTTATCTTTTCTTGGCCTATTTTTATGTTCAGTTCAGTCTGTTTAAATTAGTTCCCCTTCGGCCCTTCCTGGTGGCACAGCAGACCTCTCCTGACCCCTCTGCTGCTCCCCTCAGCAGTGGACTTTGTTCATCTGCCTGTTCTGCTTCCCACTCTGTCTCTGATGAATCCTCACCACGCTGGCACCTCTGGCCTGTACCCCAGTTCTGTATGAATAAATATTTAAAAAAATAAACTAGTTCTCATTTCTTTAGTAGGAGAAAGTCTCAACCAGAGGAATTGTCTCCAAAATTTGCCACAGCAGCACTTACCTTCCAGTATAAGGCTCCGAAAGCAAACCCAATCACGAGAGAGAAGAGCGCAGGCAAAGCCATGGCAGCCCATTGGAGGTCGGAGTCTTGGATGGGATTCGAGGCCTTCCCTGGAATGTAAACAGCACAGAGGTGAGCCTGGCCCGTCCACACCAAAAGTTTTGCTCTTATGATGTGGTCGCTCCCAACATGGGTTCTCTTGACTTAGCTCTGGTTAAGGCATTTCAAGTGCTGATTTTTCTGTTAAGCATTGTTTGGGGGAAAGCAAGACAAATTGATGTTGATTCCAGAAGAGAAGTTGGAGAAAAAGAAACCCAGACAGGAAACTTGACATTTCTTTCTAGGAGAAAAATAGTTTATGACATCAAACAAGTCCATCTTCCAAGCCTTAGTCTTGTAACAGCTTTTCATTTTTTCTTTTGCCATCTTGTCAAGAAACTAAGACTTTTTTTTAAATTTAAAAAAATGACATTTTTACAACCCAGAGCATGGTCTGCATGTCTTAAACTGTTTTTTTTTTTTCTTTTTTCTGCTACAAATTACAGTTAGATTCATGTAGATTAAGTTTGTGTATTTCTAGGTGCCTCTTACTTGGAACGGTGGTGTGTCCTTACCACATCTGGATGCCAGGCAGTGCCCAGACTTCACTAAGAACTGAACGCTTGATCAGATATTTTTTTTTTTTAATGCTTGAAAGCCGTGGCTATTGGACACTAAAGAACTGTTGAAAGCATTAGTTTCTTTTCACCTGACTTAACAGGAAACTTGGTGAGTGAGAAGACATGAGATTAGCATGGGATACCTTCCTTCATCCTGCTTTGTTCTTACCCTAGAAGCAGAACAACTCATGAATCAAACAAAACATTTTTCTCAAAATTTTCTTCCAACACAAAGCTTAACATTTTGACAGGATTTTCTTATTCCTTATAAGGAACTGCCTGTTTGGGTATACCAACACCTGTGCCAATTTGTAAGAGTTAAAAAATAAGTTTTCATTAGGGGATGTAAGTTTGGAAACTATGCATGTTTAACCATGATGTGATCAAAATGTAAACCAATCCAGGATAAGGTGACTGCCTTTCTATTATTTTACCTTTACAGTCTTCAGTCACCTATTTAACATATAAACTACATTAACAAGAGAACAAAAGCTCACAGATTCATCTGAGATTTGAGGTGAAAATTGAGATAAAGATTCTAAGCACCGGGAAAGTGCCCATTTCCCCATCAATTGGAACTGAGAGCAGGGAATTTACTTATTCTATAATTCTATAATTCCTATGTTTCCAAAGTGGCTCTGGGAAGTGTGTATTTGCTTCCATGCATGGGTGTGGTGAGGGGCATTGTGAGTCGTGTATATGTAGAGTAGAGGGTGGGGGAGCACACAAGGCATAGGAAAGTGGAAAGATAACCACAACTCACTTCCTAAGACTAACACCACCTTCTCCAGCCTCAGGAAAAGGAGGTGGCAGGCATCTGAAATTACAGCACAACATGATTTCTCTCACTAAAAGAAGTCTGAATTACAAAATGGGATTTGGTATAATTGAAGTAGCTCTATTGTTGCAGTGATATAGCTTTTATAAGGGTTATATAAGATGAATAAGTGGTAGATAAGTGCCAGACTATGACCCATAGCGTATTTTGAGAAAATGGATTCAGAGGCACAGCCCCTACCATGTTAAGAACGTTAATTATCACTACCTTTAAGTGCTTTGGCTATTTGTGTTCTTACTCCACTAACATGTTTCAGTTCTCTTTGCATCTTCCTGCAGAAGGGAGGGCACAGAAGGCCTAGTACAGGCTGGAGGAGAAAAAGACAAAAGGAACTGAGCTTCCTCTCACAGAGCTGTCAGAATTCGGGAGTTCTTGCTTATACACATGACTTAAGTGGGCCTTCTCTCAGCTAGGTCATCCCTCAGGCATGGAGAAAAACATGTTATCAGAAGAGGCTTGCTTGAACTTTCAGGATTCTCCAATACTTGTTCCTGTTGCTATCAGGAACAGGAATGAATGAAATTTCAACTGCAAGTCTCAAGGTGCATACGAAGGGTATTTGGGGCCACAGCCTAAACTGGCAACCAAGGTTTGCCTTAAGAAATCTTCTGATGTGGGGGAGCTCACCTGGGTAGGATTTGAGTAATCCCAATACCTGGGTTCTCATAGTAACTGTATCATTATAAATACTGTCAAATTCATGGGAACTACCTGTTGCGCTGACTAATAATGCCAAAATCTGTAGAAAATACAGGTCTGCTCAGAGCTAAGCAACCAGGTAGAGAGACATATGAAGAGCTCACTGGCTTCTCAGGTTGGGACTTGGAGGAGACACTTGCAAGAGATGTTGGTGAGAGACCCATCCCACCCCCCAAAAAATATTTTCAGAAACACCTGCACGCCTCTACTGTCAAATATATTGCAGTATGTACTGTATCAAGAGTATTTTAGTTAATCCTCTGAATGGATTTACTTGTGCTTCATTTGTGAGTAAAATCATCTGGTCAAAAGCAGCTGGTGATGTAAGACCATTTTTTTTTTTTATAAAAATGCCAATGTCATTCATTGTGAAATTAAAAAAGCAAACTTTTAAAATTCAAACTTACAGGCATAGGGCTGAACGGGTTTTACATTGTTTGTAAAAGCAGAAAAAGACTTTTGCTTCCAGACATGATGGTAACAGATTCATCTTCCCAATCCAAACGGTTATTACACTAGACAAGTTATACAAGGTAACTATTTTCAGACATTAGCCAGAAGGCAGCACAAGAATATCATCCCTGAGAGAAGGAAAACACCCAGTGAGACCATGCCTGTCCTGATTTTCTGGTTGGGAGTCAGTTTCAGACTGAAGTATGGAAAGCAACCCAAGAAAGGCTTAATCTCTCGGGAAAGAAAGTCAGGTAAAGGTTGTGACTTGGCTGAAATTTGTGGGGTAGGGTTATTTGTAAGAAAGTCATGCAGACAAAGGAATCTCTGGAGGAGGAGTCTTTAAAGTCAGTGGTTGTATAAGCTATCCATGGAAAAGGAGAAACAGCACAAAACTTGGCATCTTTAGTTTAGCAGTCAACGACAAAGAAGCTCCAAGAAGAAGAGACTTCTTAGGTACTCAAAGACAGCTCCAAACCATTCCTACTTCCTTTAAGCAGGCTTAAAAACAAGCCTGGGTAAGAATATAAGCTGGTTTTCCTGCAGTTGAACTGCCAATGAGAACAAAACAAAACTCAATGTTCTCTACAGGAAGGCTATAAAATCCAGACAGTCAGCAAAATAATATCCATACTGTTGAGCATATCTGTAACGCTTACTAGCCATTAAAGGGAAATGTAGAAACATTATGGAATTATACCCTGGCATGACCTACATGTAGAAATTAGGAAATAAAAATTGTACAGCAGCTCTTAAAACTATATGCAAAGGCCAAAACAAAAGAAAATGTCACAATGAAAAATCTCAGTGGAAAAATATGTAATACATGGAAATTCTGAAGTACAAAGTATAAGGTTAGAAAGAGACACACTGGGCCCAAACCTAAAGAGTGACTGTATAATACCAAGAGAGAATCCTATCAAAATGACCTAGGGTGACGACGTGCTCATGTGAATTTGCTAATTATAACTCATCGGCCACTCAGGTAGAGACTGGTGCTAATGGGAGAAGGTATATGGGAAAACTCTGTACTTCCCCCTCATTTTTGCTTTGAACCTTTAACTGCTTTCAGAAAGCCTTAACCAAAAAGTTTAGATGGCAATAAAAGGGCAAGTATACATAAAATACTTATTTCTCAACCTCCTCCTGTTCAAAATGATTAGAACCAAACCTCTGCTCCATGAGATACTACCAAATTACATAATATATGTGTGAGCAAGAGAAAATGATTTCTAATCAAGTGAAGTCTCCATCTTTCTCCTTGTTGGGCCAGGTCCTTGAACAAACGATGTCTATCCCTTTGTGCACCATTTTACCTTAGAATTGTAAATTTTCAATCTATGTCTTTAAGTTTTGACTTTTTCTCCTACTAATCTGCTTGATATTAGTGTGCTCATTCTGGTTTAGTCTCAGAAGAGCCCAGATGTAGTGGGGGATTTTCCCCCCAAGTCTCAATACAATGAAGTATAATATAGATGGTTGTGGAACTATCCTGTTACCAGCCTTGGTTTTTCCTGAAGCACACTCATAGCGGCTGTGAGGTGAATGCCTACAGCAACCACAGAGTAAGAGATATTAGTGAAAAGTTAAAAGACATGGAATTTTAAAAAATTAAGTAAACTCAAAGTGGTGGAAAAGATCAATATACCCAAATCCATGATACTGATAATTATATTAAGCATAAATGGATGAGACAGTAACTAAAATGCAAAGATAGGAGATAAAATAACAAGGCCCAATTATAGTCTCCAGAGAGGTACTGTAAAAACAGTACCTCCAACAGGTAACTGAGGTGTATTTCAGTAAGATCTAAAGGTCCGTCATAATAAGTGTATCATGACTAATAAAGAGCTTCAAAATACAAAAACTCAACCAAAGGAAAAATGGCCAAATCCACAAGCAAAAAGTTTTTAACAACCATTTCTTAGTTATTGATTGTCTTAATGTAAGTTAGTCAATAAGGATACAGGTCTATATTAAGTCACCTTCACCAATGTTGCTCTCTATATACATAAACACATTAAATAAGTGAATAAATTTCAAAAGATTACAGCATATGCTCTCACAATAGCATTTAGAATCCAGGAACAGTCAAGAAAAACCACATTTGTGACATCTACCCACTTTTATATTTCAAATCAAGGAGAATTAGAAAACAAATGACAATGGAAACATAACATCAAAATGTGTAAGGACCCAGCAATACAAGGAAATTTATGCCTTTAAGTGCCTATATTAAAAAAGAATGGCTTAGAATCAATTTTTCTATGGTTAGAAGCTAGAGCCAGTTGAACAAGTTAAACCAAAAGCTGAAGAAAACAAGATTAGAAATCAAGAAAATATAAACAGAACTTAAAGGATTCAATTCCTTTTGAAAACATCAAATATGATGTAAAATTAAGAATTTTAGATGTTAGAAGTTCTGTCCTTCAAACACTGTATACAGAAGAAGAAATAGCCTTGTCTCTGGTCAGGCTTTTTTTTTTTAATGTATGGATTGAAGATTGCTAGTGTGGACTTATAATAAACTAATTACTCTTTATGACTTGGTCTTCTATGCCTCAAACAGCTCCAGTAAGATATCATTCATTAAGGAATGATCTTCCTAGCTAATATCTAGGTATATTCCACCTTCTGCAGTTTCCATGACACAAGAGGGTCAGAAAATTTAGTAAGTTCACTTACGATCTTTGCCTGGATTTAAGAAGAGGACACAGATTTCCAGCCACATTTCAGGGAAAAAATTTATCAAATTTCCAAACACTATAGTAAATACTGACATATACAAAGCTTAAATATTCTTGAAATTCTCTTCAGCAAGAATTTGTCCCTTCCATTTTAAAATTTCCTTTTCGTTAGGCAAATATCACACAAACTATGTTCTCAGTTTACAATGAAATAAGCTTAGATCACAGTTCTCCAAGAAATTTCATGCCATATTTAAAATAATCTTAGCAGAAAAACATTGGTTTAATTCCCTAGACATTCTATCTAGCTCTAGGGAAATCCAAACTACAAATCTAATATTTAATTTTCAGAAAGACCGGATCAGGAAAACAGTAACAGGAGAGTATTGATAGTAATCATTGTAGAGATTTCCTTTAAAGCCCATGCAATACTCCTATAGATGCCAATTGGAGCCATGCATGCATTAAATCAGATACATGTACTTACTATTACTGCTACTGCTGTCATTCCTAAGGGAGCTGGCTGCAACAGGGGGTAACATAAATGGTTTTGTGACACTGACTCTGGAATCTAAATAGAAAGCAATAATGGGTCAGTGCTGCATGATGATTTACATAAATTACAGAGTCCCCAAAAGGTGAAGTGCAATACCAGAGCACTTTCCAAATCTTGCTTATTCAGTTCCTATTTATTTCCCACTGAGTCCTGCTGTTCTATTTTTATCAAGACATTCATCATACTAACTTTACAGAACAAAGATGCATTGCCTACATATGTTAATAAGCAAAAATGCAAATTATTGGTAATCAGTCATAGAAAAATGAAATTAGGCATTTGTATTTAGAGGAACCAATGGGGGTAAGAATGTAAATACAGAGTAACTGGTGAGGATTGGAATTCATGACTCAGAGTTGGAAGGGACATTCATTCAATATCATTGTACATTACTAGCAAATGTCAGACAAGAAAAATATAAATGCCTTAAATTATTTATTGTTTACTCACATATGATTCTTTGATTTAAAAATGATGAATGTTTTGGTTGGAAAACCAACAAGTTTACAAACACTAGTTTCATGGGATTGAAACTTGTTTTTTTGTTTTGACATAAGCACACACATCTTTTTCTAGCTATGCTTATATCTGGGTTAGAGGTAGAGTCTTAGCATTGCCCGTAAGATTCGAGCTTAAAATCAGAAAAGCTTAGATGTCTTACCTTTTTCAGGACTTAATGTTGAAGAGAATGCACATTCACTAGTTTTAGATGCCACCTTCTCCAAGTCCTTGAAGGCATCGATGGATTTATTAAAAATTACAAAGAATTCTGCAGGAGTAAACTTCCTGGAAACTGGACTCTTTGATTTTTTTACATTCTAGAAGGGAAATAAGTATTTCAAAAAACATTTTCAAATAACTTATAGATGTCACTGATGTCACAGCTTTCAAGAATTCCAATAAAAACACCTTTAGGCAACCACTTGAACACACACAATCCAGACTGGTATTATAAGAGGATGATTCCATCCAGCTTAGACTGGGATTCTACTTCAGGGAATGGAAAGTAGGAGGGGATTAGTGAAAGGTGAATGCAATATCACATAAATGAAACCTTGCCCTGTAGAGATGGTAACTAAAATCACGATTACCTTATTTTTTTTTTTTTTAAATCTATAACACAAGTTTCAAATGGCCACACTTAAACAGTGCCCTGTGACTATATACTGGCAAGGACATAAGCAGAGAAGATTCTTAGACACTGGTAACAACTTAGACACTGGTAACAATGTAAATGGACACATTTGATATTATCTCCTGAAGTTGAATGTATGCCCCTTCTTTGACCCAGAAATTTCACTCAGATTCTCTAGTTGAACTTCCTATGTATCTGCACCAAGAGACATCTAAGTTCTTAGCAGCAGTCTATGTAAGCCTTTATACCAGTCAACAGGAAAGTGGTTTAATAAAATACTATATATTCAATCAATGACATAGGTACTGTGTAGTAGAAATGTTACTATGAATAAAAGCCAAGTGTTATTATTCATTACAGCCAATTTTGCATGTAAAGGTAGATAAACATCTAGAACCTAATAGGAAGGTTAGAAAATAAAAAGATAACGTCAGAGCTTTTTTCAAATTACAGTGTGAATGATTTTTTTTTTTAGATTTTCACATCAAATCACAATGTGTAAGTCCTCATGTACATTTCAGCATTGTAGTGCTAATACAAACAACTTCTCGGTACAACTGGTTTTTAAATTCAAAGTCTATGAAATAAAATATGTACAAGACACTCCCACCCCTGCCAATCACAATCAGCATAGGTTTTAGAAAAGACTAGTAAAAAACAATCTGATGAATACAAAGTTACCTTAAAGGAGAGTTTTTCCATGCACTCCACAAGGTCATCCACTATTTTCACAAGTTTGTCTATGATCGAATAATTACTCAAGCCTTCAGAAATATTTGAAAACTTGTCCAGAAGATCAGTCAAGCTGACTGACAGTTCTACAACCATCTGGCTTAGCCAACAATGACTAGGCTGCAAGAAATTGAAAGAAAGATAAACATCTTTTTTAAGTACAGTAAATTTATAGCACCCTTCAAAGCCCTTAATGCTACAGTCATTGACAAGTGGACCAAGAATTTCCTAATATCAGAAAACATGTCAGTTCTTGTGTTTTGCTTAACTCAGCTCTAACATCCTGTTTCAAAATGCACACAGATCAGGAGACCATCTTGATGGTCAAGATTCTGCTCTTCCATGGAAGTAAACAAAAGCAAGACCGAGTCAACCCAGCCTTACATAGTTCAGGGCTGAATGGAATTCAATGCTATTTATGAATTCATACTTATAAATATGAATAAATTCATAATCACGGTGTCTACTCACTTCTTAAAAAAGGTGTCAACAGAGAGGGAATTACAAAAAGAATTATTGTGGAAGAGGTTCCTGGCCCTCATGGAACTTCCATAGTGAAATGGACAATGGAACAGTGAAGAAGAAATGCTTGTTAGCTATCAAGGCTTCTTGATAGATGAATTCATGGGAGTGTTTAAAATGTCCTGGTAGAAATTGGTGTCATGGCACTACTGCCAACAAGGAAGGACCAGCTACCTAATTTGAGGGGCTAGCAGCAAGTGAAGTGTATGCAATGTTCAGAAGTGATTACAAATATCAGAGAGTGGCAGAAAAAAAAAAAGGAAGCATGGTGCTCCATCCATGAAGCCAGCCCACCATGGTAAGAAGCCCTCGAGTCAGGCACAACTGGTTCTCCTCTGCATGAGAGACTTAGAATTAGGTTCAGAATGAGCTAGGTTACATAAGTTGTCAGAACGTCCCACTGTCTAGAATGAGAATAATGGAACAAGGTAGTTACGATGAAATAATGTACATAATTTGCAGACACATCTTTAGTGGGTGGTAGTTTAACAGAATCTTCTTCCCCGTGGCATCCCTACTAACCTGGCATATGGGAGTTGCTTAGAAACAATTTGCTGTACTGATGTGTCAGTAACAAATGGAAGAGAAAAAAAACACTGTACATCAGAGGTCCACATTCTTTCTCTTGAGGGCCACAGAATAAATATAGATGCTTCCAAGAGGCAACAGTCAAGGGTACTTTGTTGGTATACAAGCAGTCAAGGTTATTATGTCGGTATAGGAGAGAAAACAGATTTCTACTACAAAATGTAAAACAAAGTAACTGAACTCCCTTTCTTTTGAATGATGATTGAATGTAACTTCATTTGTAATGTAGGCCTACCAAGAAAAAGAATGGAATGTGGTCAACATTTTACTTGGTTGGGATTCAAAGCCAGCATTCTCTAGCACCAAGTAGTACAAATGTTCAGCCTTAGCTGGTTGGTCATACAAACTTAGGACTAAAGGGTTGTTAACCCTTGGTTATAAATAACTGGTTTAGATGATTAGCAGACTTCTTAGTATATTAGAAAAGATTTTACTATATTTTCAATTGATGACCAGCACTGAAAATATAACTTGTTCTAAGTTCACATCTTATTATATTTTAACATTATTGTACTCTGATTTATTTTAAATCTGCTACAATATTTAAGTAAGAAAAAAGTCATAACCATTAGGGACAGCAAAGAATTGAGTGGGTTTAGTAAGAGCCTCAGTAATTTAATGTAACTTCTATGTCAATAAAAGCACAATCAGAGAGTAACTGATGCCAATCAAATCACTAAGCTTTAGGTCTCTACTTACCAGCAGAAATTGTATGTGCAGGAAGGGCAAGTAATTTACTGATTTATTTAAAAATATGCCAGGAGGCAGGGCCCTCCCTGGTGGCGCAGCGGGTTAAAGCACAGCACTAAGAAGCTTAAGCCACTTCCGCATGAGTTCAATCCCCGCCTGCCCCGTAGGTGACCACATGGTGCGGCAGACCTCTCCTGCCGGCCCGCTGCTCCCCTCAGCAGTGTACTTCGTCGATCTGCCTGTTCTGCTCCCCACTCTGTCCCTGGTGAATCCTCTCACCCTCCGCATCTCTGGCCTGTACCCCAGTTCTGTATGAATAAATAAATCTTTAAAAAAAAAATATGCCAGGAGGCCATTTTATAGGTACAGAAATATTTCAATTAATAAAATACAGCCGAAAGGAAAACTGGTTTATCTACAGATTGGTAAACCCCAGTTCCTGGAAGCATTAAATGCCATTCAAAATTTTTAGGATTGTTGGCTCTGGCTTCAGATAAGTAGAACAAACAAAGTCCCAAGTGGGAATTAATTCTACTAGGCCATTTCATTCAACTCATCAAGCAAATTCTCAAAGATTATGTATTCCCAAAGTATAGTCAGAATGGACTCTTTGTTTTCTTAAGTCAAAGCTTATCTCAGGCACATGCAAGTTCATATTTGCATCATTAGCAAGTTTCTTCCCAAGCTGTCTCTCTCCTTTGGGCTGAATTGCTCTCCAAGTTGCCCCCATTTAGGCTTGATAATTCCCCTCGGCAGTCCAATCAGACAGGGGCAGGTTTCCTAGGCTTGGAGTGGAGCACACACTGTAAATACAGTTTGAACAGTATTTCGTGGCAGAATAGCCTGTGCCCATTAGTGACTGTCTTGTCTCTGTGCACAAGTTTCTGTGGCAAATAGATTCCACAGACTCATCTCTTGGAACTCTGGCTCTGCTCCCCTTTAAGCAGTTGCTCGCCTAGTGACTTCTGCAATCTGACATGAAGAGGCCAGCATCAAATGCCTTGTTTTTAATCCAGTATCCTTTTTAGCTGTATTATATTAATTGAAATGTTTCTGTTCCTATAAAATGGTCTCCTGGTATATTTTTAAATAAATCAGTAAATTACTTGCCCTTCCTGCACATACAATTTCTGCTGGTAAGCAGGGACCTGAAGTTTAGTGGTTAGATTGACATCAGTACTCTCTACTTTTGTTTCTGTGGTCTTTGCCTTCAATGAACAGGTTCTTTTTTTTTTTTGCTTTTTTCTGCTTAAAGTTGAAAAGGTTTTGTTTATGTGTTTCTTATTTTTAAACTGGAGAAATCTGAGGTGCTTACTGCCACTTCTGTTTATCTGAATTTCCAGCTGAACTCTATGTTTACATTCTGTATTCAAGTTCTTACTTAATATCCCTATTCCACCCACATGCCTTTTTCACATATCTCACAGTTCAAGCAATCGGCTTTTCCAGTAACATTTTCAACCCTAAAGTTATAATTTTTATAGTTCAATCAATAAAATACCACAATCTTCTTCCTCAGTACCTGACCTTTTTAAAGTCATGAGTGATTTTATTGATAGTTGATATGAACTTTTTTCACTTATTATTCATCCTGCCCACAAGTCATAGGAAGAGACATCTTAATCACTTCAAAAGTTTATCTTTTTGTTAATTTGTTTAAAGTTACATTTTAGCTTTTAAAGTCTCATGGATTTACTAAAGATAAAACTGAGGTAAACAATATTAAATATCAGCCAGTTTTGACCTGTCTACATGCAAGAGAGGAAACCAGTTGTGACTAGAACATAGAGTAGTTTTCTGTTTTCTTTTTAATTAAACATAGTCAATGATTTGCAAAGCGAATAAAACACAGTGAAGTAAATATTTCATTTGTGAGATGACAGGTCTGTTTTTCAATTCCTTCAAGGTTATGACTAGAAAGAGGCTGATGAATGGCTATGAAATTTTTTAAAAAAATGAGTTTTTCTCCCTTCTCTTTGTAACAGGCACTACTGTCACTATTATCTTTTAGAGACCATTTCAAACTCAAATAGATTGATGTAAATATTAACTCATAAAACTCACTAGGAGAATGTGAGTTATAAATAATGTTCTATATTTTGCTAGTAGAAGAATGAAATATTAGGAAAGTTGACAGAATCTTATAGGATGTCAAAGAGGTGTTATAAAGAGTACCTTTTAGAAACCTGGAGTGGATAATTTCATTGTAGAAGAGTTTTATTCACCCATACACAGAAAAAGAGAAATAAAGACCTTCTTTGAAAGGGAAAATTTGCCTGCACTTTCCCTAACTTCATGCTTTCAATTTCTTACCTTCTATCTAGGTAGGTCTGGCTTTCATTTTGTTAATTACTACAGCTCTAGATAGATTACTGGAATGATGAATGTGTTCTATTTCTATGTATTTATAGCATGTGTCCTTCCACAATGCTAACGCATGAATGATATTAAATCAGTATCCTTGACCTACAAACATGCCAGTTACTGAAGATTTTTTAACATCTTCTTACAAATTTAATGTGCCATAAGCATCAAATTAATACTTTAAAGATACCAACACTAAAATAACGTAAAACATTTGAAACATAAGGATACGACTACTTCTGAAGACCAACAATAAAAATAACTGTACATTTTTTAAGATGACACAATTTTAAAACAGATGCGATATGAATTTCCCAAGATGTGTGATATAACCTCTCTGCAGTCACAGAACTGTGAAATTTGAGACACTGGCTGGAGTTATGTACTTTCAAGACATCCTGGGGCTTGCTCAATCTACCCTACTCTCTCTTCTCCACCCCTTCTTCATTCAAGAAACTCTCGGGTTAATTAGTTGAAAGAGTTGGATACCTTATTGTGTATCTGCCTTAGCTGCAGAGAGACTCCATAAGCTCTATGAAATTAGAAGCTGAAGCTGAACCATTTCTTCATGGAGGCACTTGGCACGACTTGCATTTGGAAGCTGAGCACCGAGATGCTTGAGTGGCCCCTTGGTGGGCTACAGTCAGCATCTACACAGTAAGAGACTTCTCTACAAAGCAGCTGGGATACCCATTAGACATTCTGAGGGAGAAAAGCCCGGGCTCATACACCATGAGGCTTCTGAGGAATATTCACAAGGAGTATTTACCCTGTCTTCTAATCCAACTAATCTAATTACCAGTAATACCGCCCAGATTGATTGTTTTTGTTTTGTTTTGTTTTATATGTGTCAAACCTCAGTCTTGCCAGCACTGGAGGTATGAATGCCCAGAGCACAAAGCCTTCCTTTCTTTCCCTTGTGCTTTTTGCATCTACCTCCTGGCATCTAGAGCCAC